CACAACGCCTGGCCATTTTTTTTTTTGGTTGCAGCCATCATTGTTGTTTGGCGGGTCCGGGCTGGGGATTCGAACCTGCCACCTTGGGTGTATGTGGCTGGCGCCTTAGCCGCTTGAGCCACAGGCGCCGAGCCGAGTGTGCTGTTATTTTTAATAGCTTTATTGCTGTTCTTTTCAACAGTATCATTATTTTTGGGGTTTTTTTTTTATTTTTTTAACAGTATTATTAATATTTTTTTTTTAGAAACAGAGTCTCACTTTGTCACGCTTGGTGTAGAGTACCAAGGCATCACAGCTCACAGCAACCTCCAGCTCTTGGGCTTAAGTTAATCTCTCGCCTCAGCCTCCTGAGTAGCTGGAACTACAGGCACCTGCCATAACACTTGGCTATTTTTTGTTGCAGTTTGGCCTGGGCTGGGTTTGAACCTGCCACCCTCGGTATGTAGGGCCAGCGCTCTACTCACCAAGCCACAGCCACCACCCAGTATTATTATTTTTAAATAGATTAATCTTATTTTATTAATCCCCAAATTGCAGATTTTTATATTTTTGTTTGTGCAGCCACTAATTTCTTCTGTTCTTCTCAGGCTTGGTCTAAACCTGTGATCAAGTCAGACCAAATCATTTGTGACTTTTAAATAAATACAAAAACAACCCCACAATATCAATAAAATGATATATTTAAGTTTGAAAAGATCAGAAGACAGCAGGAAGCTAGTCGTCCTTTCTCACCATCGTCATGGACTCTCCATTAATGGTGGAAGAGTTATGAATGATTAGGAAGGGAAAATAAAAGTATATTCCAGGCGTCTAACACTTAAAATTACGTTCAATTTTTAACCCAAAAGTATTTGAAGACTTTTATAAAGAAGACCAAAAGGCAAAAAGTATGCTTTCAGGTTTAAACATCAACCAGATGAAATTTTTTTTTTTGGGGGGGGATAGAGTTTGACTTTGTCGCCCTTGGTAGAATGCTGTGGTCTCATAGCTCATAGCAACTTCCAACTTGGGCTCAAGTGATTCTCTTGCCTCAGCCTCCCAAGTAGTTGGGACTATAGGCACCCGCCACAACGCCTGGCTGTTTTTAGAGATGGGATCTCGCTCTGACTCAGGCTGGTCTCAAACTTGTGAGCTCAGGCAATTTACTTGCCTCGGCCTCCCAGAGTGCAGATGAAATTCTTAACTGGTAATCTTTGTTTAGTTTGGCAGAGTGAAGACTTATGAAATTGGTTAACTACCTTGCAATATTTTTGAAATCTTAAATCATACACACACTTGAGATCTCCAGACATGTGCACAGCAACATTCACAAAACTCCCAACAGATGCAAACATTCAAAATGTTAAACGTTAAGGGAAAAGGTAGGTAGTATGAACCATAGAGAACATTTATAGAAACTGGATTTTATAAGACAGCTTTTTTTTTCAAAGTAAGATGCCTTTTGAGTTAAAGCTCATACACTGTAACTGGACAGTACATTTCGCTTCTAGTTACTAGAAGACATCAACATTATTTTTAATTATAAAAATAGAAAATTCAGAAAATATATAAAGAAAACCAGTTGGAAGTAGCAATAGTTAAAATTTACCATGTTCTGGGTGCCAAGCACTGTTTTAAGAACTGTATGTATGGCTTGGCGCCTGTGGCTCAAGTGGTTAAGGCACCAGCCACATGCACCTAAGGTGGCAGGTTCGAATCCCGCCCGGGCCCACCAAAAACAACAGTGACGGTTGCAACCAAAAAAATAGCCAGGCATTATGGCGGGCGCCTGTGGTCCCAGCTACTTGGGAGGCTGAGGCAGGAGACTCACTTGAGCCCAGGAGTTGGAGGTTGCTATGAGCTGTGATGCCACAGCACTCTACCCAGGGGGATAGCTTGAGGCTCTGTCTCAAAAAAAGAACTGTATGTATAAAATCTAATTAATTTTCACCAACTCTTAGGTGGTACCTGTGGCTCAAAGGGTTAGCTAGCCGGTGGAGGTGGCAGGTTCAAACCCAGCCCCAGCCAAAAACTGCAAAAAAAATTTTTTTTCACCAACTCTATATGGGGCAGCTATAGTCTGAGCCATGTTTCACAGGTGAGAAAATTGAGGCATACGAGTGTAAGTCCTCTAGTGAGTAGCAGGATCCAGATTCAGGCTCAGGTGCTTTGACTGAGGCTGGTTTTTCTCATCCATCCTCTCTGCACAGGCTGTATTCCTCTGCAGTGTTTGGTGACTTTGAGCAGTTTCCTCCTCCAGAAATCACCCGGAGGCCTGTTGAGGACTTAATCCTTCAAATGAAAGCTCTCAACATTGAGAAGGTGAGTTGCTGCCCCCATTCATGCTGTCACCCACCAGTCCCCTGTGGGCCACCTCTCTTTCTCCAAGAGCCAGGGCACCCAAGAGCTAACCTAGTGCCTGCCTCGCCTATAGCAACTGGTTACAGAACGTTGCATCAGCAGGTGCCCCAGGGCCTCTGGTCTCCTGTGATATCTGAGTCCCCCTTGGACACCCAGGGGATGGCACCTGGTGCTATACACCTCTCATAGGCTGTCAGTCCTTGGGGCTCACCAAATTTTCTGACTCTTCCTGTCCGAAGTCTTTCTGACCCACTCCTCCAGTGGAGAGGAGCAGTTCTGTCTAGGTGGCCCCCTAACCTGACTCCAGGATGAGGAGGGCCAGGCAGGGAGTGCCCTGCACCATGCTGTATGCTACACCCTGTGCCACCCTGTCTTGTTAAACAAATGAAGAAACTGAGTCACAGAAGCAAAGGTGTTGGTCCAGGGACAAACACCTAATAAGTGACAGAACCCAGATGGTCGTCTGGTTTTTCTGATTATGTTTAAAATTATAAAAATTTAGGTAGGCTAGGCACAGTGGCTCAATACCTATAATTCTGGCACTTTGGGAGGCTGAAGCAGGAGGATCTCTTCCAGCCATGAGTTCAAGACAAACCTGGCAACATAGTAAGACCCTGCCTCTACAAGAAATGTTTTAAAACTTAGCCAGACATGGTGGCATGAGCCTACAATCCTAGTTAGGAAACCGAGGCAGGAAGATCACTTGAGCCCAGGAGTTCAAGGCTGCAGAGAGCATTGCACTCCAGTCTGGGCGACCAAACACATAATATCCTATATTGTTATCGCTGTGGGTTTTGTTGTTGTTGTTTTGAGACCAAGTCTCACTATGCCACCCTTCAATAGAGTGCTGTGGCATCATAGCTCACAGCAACCTCAAACTCTTGGGCTTCAGCAGTTCTCTTGCCTCAGCTTCCCAAGTAGCTGGGAGGCACTACAAGTGCTGGCCACAATTCCCGACTATTTTTTGTTACAGTTGTCATTGTTGATTAGCTGGCCTGGGCCAGGTTTGAACCTGCCAACTTCAGTGTATGTGGCTGGCACCAACTATAACCACTGTGCTATGGGTGCCCAGCCATCACCGTGATTTTTTTAATTTTGCATGATATTTATATATTGTCTTGAGCTTAATGTTTTCACCTAATAAAAATAATGGCACCGTTCACACATTGGGTACCTGGTATGTGCTGGCCACTCTACACACGTAGCTTCATTTTTTTTTTTTTTTTTTTTTTTTTTGAGACAGAGCCTCAAGCTGTCCCCCCCGGTAGAGTGCTGTGGCATCATAGCTCACAGCAACATCCCAACTCCTGGGCTCAAGCGAGTCTCCTGCCTCTGCCGCCCAAGTTGCTGGGACCACAGGCGCCTACCACAACACCCGGCTATTTTTTGTTTACAGCCATCATTGTTGTTTGGTGGGCCTGGACTGGATTCGAACCTGCCACCTTAGGTGTATGTGGCTGGCGCCTTAGCCACCTGAGCCACAGACGCTGAACCCATAGCTTCATTTTATTCTCACCATGACTACAGGAAGTTACTGGCTTTATCATCCCCATTTTACAGATGAGGAAACGTAGACACTGAGATGTGCCTGGGCCATGGATCACATGGCTAGAAGGTATCACTTCAGGGATTGGCTCTAAGTCTGGCTTAAGAAATGCCTTCCCAGGTGGCGCCTGTGGCTCAAAAGGGTATGGCACCGATTCCATATGCCGGAGGTGGCAGGTTCAAACCCAGCCCCAGCCAGAAAAAAAAGAAATGCCTTTTCACAGGGAGATCAAGATACCTGTTCAGAGGAATTCTTTGGTGGCTTCCTGTAGCTTTTTTTTTTTTTTCAGGCAGTCTCACTCTGTTGCCCTGGGCTTGAGTGCCATGGTATCACAGCCTACAGCAACCCCAAACTCTTGGGCTCCAGCTATTCTTTTGCCTCAGCCTCCCAAGTAGCTGGGACTACAGATTCCTGCCACAATACCATTTATAAAGGCAGGGCCTCGCTCTAGCTCAGGCTGGTCTTGAACCTCTGAGCTCAAGTAATCCACCCATCTCTGCCTCCCAGAGTTCTAGGATTACAGGCATAAATGAGCCACTGCATCTGACTTTTTTTTTTTTTTTTTTAAACAGAGTCTTACTTGTACTCCCTGGGGTAGAATGCTGTGGCATCACAGCTCACAGCACCCTCCAACTCCTGGGCTCAAGTGATCCTCTTGTCTCAGCCTCCTGAGTAGCTGAAACTACAGACACCTGCCACACCTGGCTAGTTTTTAGAGATGGGTCTTGCTCTTGCTCACGCCGGTCTTGAACTCCTGACCTCCAGAAGTCTACCTGTCTCAGCCTCAAAGAGTACTGGGATTATCTAGCCCTTTCCTCTAGCTCTTAAGTAAAATCTGGGGTCTGAGGCTCAGCCTAGCTTGGGCCCTGATTGCCCTCTGCCCATCCTTGCCTCCTAGGGCTACCTCCCTGCCTGCACCCACTCTTGAAGCAACTTCACCGAGATAACTCCCATGCCAGACAGCCCTCCCACCTACAATGTGGAGTTGGCGGTTTGGGCATACTCAGAGGTGTGCATCATCATCACCATCAGTGACTGTTTTCATCACTGTGGCTGAATCGTACTGCACTATAGGGGTAGGCCCACATCTTGTTTGTCCATCATCCCTTGATGAACACTCTGTTGCCCAGTATTGCTATGAAGCATTACAGGGCCACAAGCATTTATCTGAACACTGGTTTCGGTTGGTCAGTTTCTCTAAGATGCCACCAGTCCTGAGCCTGATCACTCTCTGTCCTCTCACCATTTCACTGTCAGGTACCTTTGCTCCTGTGACTCCTCACTGACTACTGTGGCCCTTCCTGGCTGCGTGAGTGCACAGTGAATGCAGAGTTTTGTCTTTTGGGCTCCTCTACCTCCCACCTCCAAGAGCAGCCCTTGGTGCCCACTAGGCACTTTGCAGTGAGTGGACGTCATACAAAGGAGGCTCTGTGTTTCACCTGGTGTCCCGTGTCCCAGCTGGTGTGAGCGGTGCCCAGAGATAGGTGGAAAGGGGCACCACACTTGCCTCTGGGCATCAACTCAGCCCCTGCCATGTGTCCCTGTGTCCCTGTGTCCCAGGTCATCAACTTCCCCTTCCCGACGCCTCCATCTGTGGAAGCCCTCATTGCTGCCGAGGAGCTGCTGATCGCGCTGGGTGCCCTAGAGGCGCCCCAGGAAGCAGAGAGGTAGGGCAGGGGGTCGGTGGGGAGGGCAGAGGAGGACCCACTTCCCTCCCTGTCCTCGAAGTCCCCGAACACCACAACCCTGCATCTCCAGGGTGAAGCAGCTGCAGAGTCCTCGGCTGAGCTGCCCCATCACTGCACTGGGCAGGACCATGGCTGCCTTCCCTGTGGCACCCCGCTATGCCAAGATGTTGGCCCTGAGCCGGCAACATGGCTGCTTGCCCTACGCCATCATCATTGTGGCCGCCATGACAGTCCGGGAGCTGTTTGAGGAACTAGACAGGTGGGAGACTGGGGGCTGGTACTCCTGGGGAGTTGTGGTTTGTTGGATGGCTTTGTGCAAGACCATTATTCTCTCTGAGCCCTTTGATGTTCTGATCTCTGACAGCCATGGTGTTTTTCACTGCTGCCCCTTAGAGATTAGATGAGATGGTGAGACTTGGAGGTAGGAGGTCCCTCATCATCAGAGGGACGTTGATTCCAGCAAACTCCTTCACTACCAAAGCAGTGAAGGGTGGTGCTAAGAATATGAAAGTATGCAGGGCGGTGCCTGTGGCTCAGTGAGCAGGGCTCCGGCCCCATATACTGAGAGTGGCAGGTTTGAACCCATCCCTAGCCAAACTGCAACAAAAAACAGCCAAGTGTTGTGGTGGGCACCTGTAGTCCCAGCTACTCAGGAGGCTGAGGCAAGAGAATCGCCTAAGCCCAAGAGCTGGAGGTTGCTATGAGCTGTGACACCATGGCACTCTACTGAGGGCAACAAAGTGAGACTCTGTCTCTAACAAAAAAAAAAAAATGAAAGTATGCTTAGTCTATCACACATTTAACAAAAATCTAGACTTTAGTTACGACTATATGCTTGTTCATAAGATGAGAGACTATGTAATGATTTCCTGGCATCCTTCATAAAATCAACCACTACACGTAAGGTCTTGAAACCCAGATGTCTTAGCCAGGGGTCCTCAAACTTTTTAAACAGGGGGCCAGTTCACTGTCCCTCAGACTGTTGGAGGGCTGGACTGCAGGCCTGGGACAAGTTGGCTGCTAAGCAGGACAGGTAGCGGCAGCAAAAACACCCAGTGGGCTGAAAAATGTCCTCAGCAGGCCACATGTGGCCCGTGGACTGTAGTTTGAGAACCCCTGTTAACCTCCGCAGATCCCTGGATCAGAATCTTTCGGTTCCAGTGTCTCTCATAAAACTCCTTAGCCTGGGCTCAGTGTCTGTAACTCAGTGGTTAGGGCGCTGGCCACATACACCAGAGCTGGCGGGTTTGAACCCCACCCAGGCCTACTAAACAACAATGACAACTACAACAAAAAAAATAGCTAGGCTTTGGTGGGGTGCCTGTAGTCCCAACTACTTGGGAGACTGAGGCAAGAAAATTGCTTAAGCCTAAGAGTTCGAGATTTCTGTGACATGTGACGTGAGGTTGCTGTGAGCTGTGATGGTATAGCAGTCTACCAAGGGCAACATAGTGAGACTCTCAAAAAAAAAAAACCAAAAAAAAAACTCCTTAGCCCGGTGCAGTGGTTCACACCTGTGATCCTAGGACTCTGGGAAGCTGAGGCGGGTAGATAGCTTGGTCTCAACAGCTTGAAACCAGCCTGAGCTCAAGAGTAGGACCCCATTTCCACCAAAACTAGAAATATTAGCTATGCTTTGTGGCAGGCACCTGTAGTCTCAGCTACTCAGGAGTATGTGGGATCTGAGGCAAGAGGATCACTTAAGGCCAGGGTGTGAGGTCACTGTGCACTAGACTGACACCATGGCACTCTAGCCTGAGTGACAGAGTGAGACAGTCTCCCCCCCCAAAAAAGGAGTGGTGCCTGTGGCTCAGCGAGTAGGGTGCTGGCCCCATATACCCATGGTGGTGGGTTCAAACCCGACCCCAGCCAAATGTAACAAAAAAAATAGCTAGGCATTGTGTCATCGCCTGTAGTCCCAGCTCCTTGGGAGGCTGAGGCAGGAGAATCGCCTAAGCCCAGGAGTTGCAAGTTGCTATAAGCTGTGATGCCACGGCACTCTACCCAGGGTGATAAAGTGAGACTCTGTCTCTACACACACACACACACACACACACACACACACACACACACACAAAAGCAAACTCTTCAAGTAGCATCTGTAGCATCATGGCCAAGAGCTCAGAGTCTGGGTGTGACCTGGATTTCACTGTGCCATTGGGAGCTGTCTGCCCTTGGGCAAGTGACTGCACCTCTCTGGCGCTTATTTTCTCTATCTAGAAAATGGGGATAATGACAACAATTGGATTATTGTTAGAATTAATACAAACAAAGCACTTTTCACCATGCCAGGCACACATATTAGCTATTATTTTCAGGTTGGGAAACCACTGGCATGCTCATTCACCCAGTCCCCATTTTCTGACTATTCCAGCAGTTTTCACTTCTTTTTTTTTTTTTT